TAGGGGGTCAGCAAGAAAACCACTTTCATAAAGGGTTTGAGCAGAGACCTCAAGGAGGTGAGGGAGGAAGCCACAAAGATATTTGTAGAAAGATTAGTGATCTTTGCAGAGGAAATAGCCTGTGCAAAGGCCCTGAGGCAGGACCAAGCTGGTGTGTTTGAGCAGCAGGGAGGAGGCCCATGTAACTGGAGTGGAGGGAGTGAGAGGAACAGTGGGAGGAGGTGAGAGCAGGGAGGTGACAGAGCAGATAGTGCAGGGCCTTGTGGGCCACAGGAGGGGTTGGGCTTTTGCTCCAGGTGAGGCGAGCCACAGAGGGTTCTGAGCAGAGGAGGGACGTGAGTGACTCAGATGCTCAGAGACAGACTGGAAATCAGGGGCAGAACTGGGGGGACCAGGGCAGAGGTGCCAGCTCTGGTCTAGGCAGGAGATGACAGGGACTTAACAGCTCAGTGCCTGTCGCCTCAATATTTCCACTCTAGAATAGGATTGGGGCTTTCCCTGCACGTTGACAAAAGGGCCCTTCCAAAGCACTTTTCCCACCATGAAGACATCGGCTTCAAGAGTCATGTCGGGAGAGAGTGATAGCTTCTGTGCTTTGAAGAATGCCTGGCAGATGTCTGTGCCGTGACCCACGTCTGCCGGCAGGGACCTCCCAGGCAGCCTGAGGAGCAGAGAGGGAGGGCAGATGCTGGTGAGGACATCTGTGGACCTTAGGGCTGCCTGGGTGGGGGCCATGCAGCAGCGTGCCCAGGACAGCCATGATGGCTGCTGAAATACTTCTGTACTGTCTAGTAGACCCCTAGCCCCGACCCCCGAGTGCCCTGCCCCCTCCTCACACCTCAGCCACTCCAGGTGGGTGCCTGGTCCGGCAGGGGCTCTTCAGGCTGAGGCTCTAGCTCTGCAGCCAGACAGGCTTCGGCCAGCGTCTCTTCCATGCCAGGTGCACAGCCTGGAGGCCCCAAAACACATGGGGCCAGGCTGGTGGATCTGTCAGCACGGAGCCAGCCATGCCGCTGTAACAGATAGCCCCGAGGTCCCAGTGGCTCCAAACCAGAGGGGGTCATTTCTCACGCCCATTGTGTGCCATTCATGGGCTGGCGGGGGCTCTGCTCATCAGAGTCACTTAGAGACTGTGCCTGACAGAGCAGCCACTGTCTGCAGTGTCACCAGCTGCTGTGCCAGAGAGAAAGAGAACTCTGGACGGTACCACGCTGGCCCCACAGTGACATGTCACTGCTCATACCTCATTGGCCCCAGCCTACCACAAGGCGCCAGCAAGGCCCACCCTCCCATCACTAATGGAAGGAGGGACTGGAACACTAGCCAACAGACTGAATGACCGCCTGGCTGGGTGAGCAACTGGGTCAGATCTGGCGAAGGGCACGTCCTTGGGAAGCGAGACTGGGAGTGGAAGAGGCTTCCTCTGCTGGGGGAGTTCCAGGGCGCCCCAGCCTCCCTGGGCCTCAGCCCAGGCCCAGCCTCAGGACCACGGCTCACTGTGGTAATCATCTGACCCAGGCAGCACACACATGACCTGGTGAGACAGCTACCATCATCCCTGTTTCACAGATCTGGAAACTGAGACACACAGGGGAGGGGTGACCTGTCTGAGTCACCCGGTTGTAAATGGGAGCCAGGGTTGGGTCCCAGGTGGGCTGCCCCTCCCAATACTGGAATCTCTCCAGGCAGCCTGGGCCAGGTCCCTGGGGCACTGGAGACCCCGTGAGGACCAGGACAATGGTGGCCCTGCACTCCAGAGCTCCAGGTCGGCAGGATCTGCCAACCGCGTGGTGGGCCAGCCAAAGCCTCGCAGGTGCCCTGGCTGCCTGGGCAGGTGTTAGGGCTGTCTGTGTCCATGCTGCAGGCGGAGCTGACAAGCAGCAGATGGATGCTGAGCTGCGGAAGGAGATGATGGCCATTTGGCCCAACCTGTCCCAGAAGACGCTGGACTTGCTGGTCACACCTCACAAGTGTAAGAGCCGAGCCTCCTGGCCTCATCTTGGACTCCAACCTGCCAGGGCGAGGCGGCAGGGCAGGGGGAAGGGAGGAAGCCTGGGGAGGGTATGGGAGCGGCCGGGGACAGGCCCAGAGGAGGCTCCCTGCCCACCATGAGCTCACCCTTCCCCAGCCACGGACCTGACAGTGGGGAAGATCTATGCCGCCATGATGATCATGGAGTACTACCGGCAAAGCAAGGCCAAGAAGCTACAGGCCATGCGTGAGGAGCAGGTACGGCCGCCGCTGCCCATGGCTCCGGGGGGCCCAGGCGGGAGACAGTGGCTTCGTTGTCACCACAGAGACCAACCAGGACAGGAGTGTGGCCAAGCCCAGGACAGGTCACTGAAAAGTGGGGTCGGGCCAAGGAGACATATCCTGGGTGAATTCTTCTGCTCAACAGCATTTACTGAGCCCCTGCTTGTGCACCAGGCACTGTGCTAGGTCCTGGGGATGCAGCTGCGAGCAAAACAGACCAGAGTCCCTGCTCTCATGGATGGTACCGTGGGGGAGACACCGACAGAGGACTAAGTGATATCACACATTAGAGGGCAGTGGGTACTGTGAGAGAAACAGCAGAAAGAGGGAGTGCAGGAGGGTGGAGGTGGAGTGGGGGCCAGGGGCCTCCCTGGGGAGGTGATGTTTGAGCAAAGATGAAGGAAGAAGGGAGGCAGTGAGCCAAGCAGAGCTCTGGGGGAGGGCACTCCAGGCAGAGGGAACAGCCCCGTGCAAAGGCCCTAAGGCTGAACCGTGCCTGGTGAGTTTGGGGAGCAAGGAGGAGGCCAATGTAGTGGAACAGAGGGAGCAAAGGGGAAAGTGGGAGGAGATGAGGGCAGTGAGCTGACAAGGTAGGTCATGTAGGGCCTTGTGGGTCCCAGGAGGATGTGGGCTTTTACCCTGAGCAGGGTGGGAGCCATAGAGGGTTCTGAGCAGAGGAGGGACATGACCTGACTCAAGTGGTCACAGGTGCCCGCTAGTGCCATGGAGGGAACTGACTGTGGGGGCGAAGGCAGAGCCAGGGTCCAGGGAGGAGACTGTGCTGGTCCAGGTGGGAGATAACCAGGCATGACCTGGTGGGGCATGGAGGGGGGGGAAGTGGGCGGAGTCTGGACAGATTTGGAAGGATAGTCAACTAGACTGGCTAATGGCTCAGATCTGAGAGTGTGTGTTGGAGGTGTCAGCAATGACTTCTGGGGTTTCGGCCTGGTTGGGGGCGCTGAGCATCCCGTCCGCGGTCTTCTCCCCTGGAGCCAGAGCTCCCCGCCATTCCACTGAGAGGCTTGGCACTGCCCTCCGCCTGTCCCCTGTCCCCCCTGCTGCCCTGTGCACACACACTGCCCTCTGTGCCCCCAGAACCGGACGCCCCTCATGTTCCAGCGCATGGAGCCCCCATCTCCAACGCAGGAGGGTGGGCCTGGCCAGAATGCCCTCCCCTCCACCCAGCTGGACCCAGGAGGAGGCCTGTGAGTGTCACTGTGGGTGGGGGTGGGTGGGGGACGCCAGTCCCCAGAAGGGGAGCCCCCCAAAACCCACAGCCATCCTCCCTCTGCCCCCCACACAGGATGGTTCACGAAGGTGGCATCAAGGAGAGCCCATCCTGGATGACCCAGCGGGCCCAGGAGATGTTCCAGAAGACAGGCACGTGGAGCCCGGAGCAGGGGCCACCCACCGACATGCCCAACAGCCAGCCCAACTCTCAGGTGCCTCTGTTCCCCCACCCCACCCCCAGCCCCTGGCCTGGGCAGGTCAGGAGGTTGGTGTCTGGGCTGCTCCATGGACACCAGACCAGCAGGGCCAGGCCCTGGGGTCCGGGCACCAGACCCTGGGGCTCACCACCTTGCCGTCTGCCCGCAGTCTGTGGAGATGCGAGAGATGGGCAGAGATGGCTACTCCGACAGTGAGCACTACCTCCCCATGGAAGGCCAGGCCCGGGCCACCTCCATGCCCCGCCTCCCTGCCGAGAACCAGGTGAGGGGCTTTCACCGACCCCCACCCTGGGGCTGGACTGCTCCCCCAGCCCAGGGCACACCCCTCCTGGGCCTCTGCATCCTCAGCAGCAGTGCACAGGCCCCTCCACCACACCTGGAGCACTTGAGGCCTTGTCCTCTTAGCCCTTCCCAAATGGAGGGCTGAACCGGGGAGCAAAGGGGTGCCCGTGGGGCAGGGGACAGAGGTGGGGTCGCTACTGAGTGGGTTTTCTGCTGTTGTGGGGGTGGGGGTGCTGGAGGACTATGTGGGAGACGATTGCTCGTGCCTGGATGAGTGCTGCAGCGAGACTCCTCTACACGCACGTGCACACACACGCACACACACGCATGCACGTGGATCTGCTCAGGAACTCAGCAGGTCCTGGGATCTGGTGGCAGGGAGAGCTAAGGGCAGAGTATGGGGCGGGCCTGTGGGCAGCTGGGTTTCCTCGTATTTCCTGTCTGGTCTCTGTGGGGTCCGCTGTGGGGGGCAGGGCTGTGTGCCTGATGCGTGTCTCTGTGTGGCTGCTTAACCCAGCTGCAGGGGCGTGGGGAGAGGTGGGGGGGGGGCTGGTGATCCCACTGCCCCAGGCCCCTGGGGACAGAGCTTCCAGAAGCATGACTGGCTGCCCACCCAGCCTGGGAACAGGAGCCCCAGGGGCCCTGCCCACCACCCCAAGGAGCTTCCAGAACAGGGAGGAGAATGCCCTGTCTGAGGGCTGCAGTGTGCTGGTCCAGCGAGGCAGCATGTCTGGCTGGGGGCAAGCTTCCTTCATGGTGTGCCGTGGCATCTGCACGGGGTGGAAGGCTGTGCTGTTCCTGGGGACCAGGGTCGCCCAAGGGCCTGGCCTCTGGCTGCTGTGAACCTGGGGCACCCAGCCTGCATGTGGCTCCCAGTCCCGTCACCCGGCTGAGCTGCTGGGCCCAAGGAGGGGCTGGACAAGTGCCAGCTGGCACCCGTCTGTTGGTCTCGTGCCTCTGCCATCTGTCTGTCTCTGTGTCTCCTGTCTGTCTCCTCTGATCTCAGCTGCCATGTGCCCACCTGTGCCCGTGGGAGGGCAGCCAGCCCAGCTCAGGGGCACCCACCCACCAGGACTCTAATCTCTCTCCTCTCTCCCTTTGCCCCTCCTTCTCAGGTTCCTCCCCCTTCCCGGCCTCCATGCCACCACCTCCTGACTTCCCCTCTGGGCTTTTATATTTATTTTCTTCTTTCTGTTTTTTCTGTGTGCACCATCCCGTGGGGCTGTGACAGAGGAGAAGGGGCCGGCCACGTGGGAATAACCTCAGTGTATGTACCACACCCACCCACCGCCCAGCTCGGCTCCGGCCCCCTCTTCTTCCCCACCCCCCTCATGGGAGTCCCGTCATCTCCCCCTCTCTCAGACCCCACCCCTTCTTGGCAGACACCCCCTCTGTGGAGCCCCATCCTCGTGTGTTGTGTCCTCCGTGTGCCCGTGTGTGCAATGGCAGGGCAGGCTCTCCCACCCCCTTTCAGAGCCCCAAGCTGGGGGGACCAGCTCTCCAGAGACCTGGCCCACCCTGCACCTCTTTCTCAGAGTCTTGTCCCCCTGCCCTCCAGTCCCTCTGGCCCTGTGACCCTTCAAACTCCTCCTTGGGCAATACCACCAGCAGCTCAGCTAGGCCGGGCCCTGGGGGTGTCGCCCTGTCTTCCTCTCCCCTCTGCCTGCGCAGAGACCCATGGGCCTTCTCTGCAAGGCCTGCCTGGGGGGTGCAGGGCATGAGGGCCCCCGGCTGCAGGCCGAGGATGAAGAGAGACAGCCCCAGGGTGTCAATGCCAGGGTGGCCCCGCAGGAGCTCCATAGACTTGGCTGGTCAGGACAGCACAGCCCCCCAGTTGGCCTAGGGAACAGGGAGCTGGTGTGCAGGGGCCTGGCCCTGAGCTGCAGGCCTGACTGCGTGGGGGGCGAGGCCGCCCAGTGACAGGGCTCCCAGGTTTGCACCCAGGATGAGGAGAGCCCAAAAGGACATCCCCTTACCACCATCCAGCCAGCCAGCCTATCCCTGGAGGGGCCCCTAGGGCGGGGGTGACCTCCGTGGGTGGTCTAATAAGCAACAACGGCGATCAGACAGGCCTCCTGACCAGAATCTGGGACGGGCCAGGGAGGAACAGCCCTGTCTTTGGGGACAGAGGGTCCGTGGCTGCCAGGGCACAACCCCTAGAGCCGGCAGGCCAGGCTCCTCAGGGTCCTGATTGCATCAGAACCCAGGCTTGCATTCCCTGGGCCTCACCCCAGTTGGTCACTCCCAGGCACTGCCTGCCCCCTGCCAGGTGCCCATCCTGGGCCGGGCGGTCATGGGAGGGAAGGACAAGGATGGCACCACTCGGTTCCTGACCCTTAGCCCTCTGGCCTGTCCCCCCAGACCATCTCAGACACCAGCCCCATGAAGCGCTCGGCCTCAGTGCTGGGCCCTAAGGCCCGGCGCCTGGACGACTACTCCCTGGAGCGGGTGCTGCCCGAGGAGAACCAGCGGCACCACCAACGGCGCCGAGACCGGGGCCACCGTGCCTCTGAGCGCTCCCTGGGCCGCTACACCGACGTGGACACAGGTGGGCCCACCCGCCCGGCCCAGCGGGGGAGGCCTCTAGAAGGAGGAAGAGGAGGGGAGAGCAAGGAGGAGGCAGGGTTGGGGTCAAGGCTGAGGGAAGACAGAGGGAGGGCCTGGCACTCGGAACAACCCTCGAAGAGAGGACGGAGTCACCCACCCCAGGAGAAGGGGCCACGCTGGCTGCTGCTCAGAGCCTGCACACGGGGCCCCCTGCACCAAGCCCCCCGAAGGTGGCCCAGGGAAAGGCGCCTCCCTGTAGTTCATGCCGAGGGACTTCTGTGGGACCTCGGGACCCTCTTGCTGGGCTCCTGTGTGTGCGTCCTACACCAACCCCCCTCACAGCCGTCTGTCTGTCCCTCTGACTCCCGCCTGGCCTAGGCTTGGGCACAGACCTGAGCATGACCACTCAGTCCGGGGACCTTCCATCGAAGGATCGCGACCAGGAGCGGGGCCGGCCCAAGGACCGGAAGCACCGCCAGCACCACCATCACCACCACCACCACCCCCCGCCCCCCGACAAGGAGCGCTACAGCCAGGAGCGGCCCGACCACAGCCGGGCCCGGGCCCGGGACCAGCGCTGGTCCCGCTCCCCAAGCGAGGGCCGAGAGCACATAACACACCGGCAGGTGGGTGTGCCCACGGTGCCCCAGCCAGCAGGACAGCTGGCTGCCAGGGGCTGCCCTTCCCCAACCCCAGGAGGCCCCACCCAGCAAGCAGCCAGGTCTGGCTTTGCCCAAGGCAGGGCCCGTGCTCCAGGCTGTGACCTCTGACCCTGGCCACCACCAGGATGCCCCAGCCCTGCTCTCCAAGCCAGGGTGCCCAGGCGGGTGGACACTAACCCTGTCACCTGGCTCCCGACTCTGCCCCCAGCTCCCCGCTGCCTGCGCCCCTCCCGCCGCCCGCCCGCAGCTGCTTCCTCCTTGGTTGTGGATCACGTTTGAGTTCTGGCAGCTGGTCCTCTCGGCTCATGCCCGCTGTCTTTGCTTTCCTTTAACCTCAGCTTCCCTTTTTGTTTTAATTATGATTTCTGTCCTCTGGACGCCTGTGAGTAATTTTTGAAACTTCTGCTGTTTTAACCCCGAAACTTACAAAACTCCATTTCTCATTTCTCTTTTCACTTTGTTGTGTTGGTTTTTGACTCCCCCCTCCGTGTCTCTCTCACTCCCCTCCCGGTCCCTGTGGCTGTCGCTTTTCTCCTTTTTTTCCATTCAAATGTCCTGTGTTCCCATCTCCTCCTCCCGGCCCCGGCCCTGTTCCCCTTTGGTTCTCCTTTGCTCCCTTCTCTCCCTCTTGTCCTGTGTCTTCTCCCGTCTCTTTCTGGTTGATTTTGTTGTATCTTTTTTTTTGATTTCCTTTGTTTCAATTTTCGTGTAGGGCAGTAGTTCCGTAAGTGGAAGCCCAGCCCCCTCAACATCTGGTACCAGCACTCCGCGGCGGGGACGCCGCCAGCTCCCCCAGACCCCCTCTACCCCCCGGCCACACGTGTCCTATTCCCCCGTGATCCGTAAGGCCGGTGGCTCGGGCCCCCCGCAGCAACAGCAGCAGGTGGCGCGGCCAGGCCGGGTGGCCACGAGCTGCCCGCGGAGGTACCCGGGTCCCGCGGCAGAGCCTCTGGCTGGGGAGCGGCC